TCAGGGATGATCTAAACTTATTCAAACCTGCTACTTTTGCATAAGTATTATAGATGAAAAATGAACACATACTTGTTGAGGAAGATCTCAGGGACTCTCCGAAGGGTAAGTTGGATTCATCTGACCATTCCTCAAAGAAGCAAAAAAAATTGGGGGGGGGGGGGGACCAAAGAAGACAAAGGACAATCAGTCCTCCGACAGTCACCAAAATAATAACTCTTGATCACGGGATAAGCCAAGGAATGATCGAGGGAATCATGACTGGAAATGAAACTTTGATTAGTGACCGATGTAGTATTATGAGCGACCAGCCCGGTATTATGAGTGATTACATGTCTACCGAGAAATGCAAGGTTTGACACCCATCAACTTGTTGATGGTCAAAATAGTCCAGACCATCCAGAACATGAACTATTTCAAACCAGCCTCGCCACTTAAGGCATGCCACACCCTATGAGATATGAAGAGGTAATGTCATTATCATCGTGACCATGTCCACAACACGGAGGAATGTCATCACTCAGAAACCTGATTGAGGAGCTCATCTACACCATAAGCTCAAAGATTTTTATTGTAGTTAGTGTCCAAATGCAGCGATAGGGCAAGACTGCGGTAAGAGAATACTTGAGTGGAACTGTCTAGGCAAACGAGGTCCATGTAGTAGGGATAATCAATGCCATTTTCGGGGGAGGACTCTGATCCTTCAACAGGAAGAGAAAGTGTTCGGGAGAGGTATGCTCCGTCGTCAAGTATACAAGTAACCATTTATCAATTGTCTTTACAGGTACAAATCTTCCACCGAAGGAAAACTCATACAATGAAGTGATCATTGTCACAACACTGATCAATGCTACCATGTGGGTAGTATTCTGGTTGATACAGGGAATTCAGTCTGCATCCTGTTCAAAATGGTGTTTGATAAGATCGGCCCAAAGGTTGACAGATTGACGGCGTCGGTTGGCCCATTATTCAAATTTTTCAGGGAAAGGAAGGAGGCACTAGGCCTTATCGCCATAGCCATTTCTTGGGAAGAACCCGGGAAGCAGCAGTGTGGAGGACTCTCACATGGTAGAATATCGCTGAACTACAATGCCAGGTTCAGTTGGGCACTCTTGAACAACTACCAGGCAGTGACCTCCACCTTCCATGTGACCATAAAGTTCCTAAGCGACGAGAAGATGATCACTGTGTAGGAAAACTTTGAGTAGTCTAGAAGCTACTATTTGTGAGTGGTTTCGAACGTCGATCATGAACCACTAGACATTTAGATCCAGAGAGAAAGAGACCTCAAAACCAGTGAGACCATCCTCCAGGTACATGTGTCCAACAAAGAAACCTAGAAGGTTTTCCTAATCAATGAGCATTTTGATATAGAGTTAAGGAACCGGCTGATACAGAAGCTTCAGGAGCACCAGGGTTGTTCGCTTGGACCGCAGCTGAGATGCCTGACATTTTAATCGATGTGACATGCCATCAGTTGACACCAGCCCCCACACTTGGCTTGTATAGTAGAAGATCTGGTCGACTGCCGGGACTTTGGGTTTAATAACACTCTGAGCATCATAATTGTGCAAAGCCGCAGCCTCAATCCACTTAGAGACATATGATCAGTCGGTTTTTATCATTTGTATCAAAAATAGATTTGGGTTTAATATGTATATAGTTTTGATTTTGAAAAGAGTATTTTTATTTTGAAAATATGAGACCATATAAATGTCATATATCTAATGATTTAAACAATTGAGCACCACATTAGGAGTAACACTTCATCTCGGAAGATGAGGGTATCACTATATAATAGGCTCAATTATTTTGACTTAGAGTTTATGATATGTATTTGGTCTGTGATATTTCAAACAGGTCGTTCCCTTACATAATATGAGGATTAGGTAGGATTTAGATTATCTGAGTTACTAATTCTCCTATAGGCGCAAACCCCTACAGTTAATTGC